ACCCCAGCACACAGGGATGTCAAATTGGGGATGAGATCTTGCCCAGAAAATTTCATCCTCCACTCATTTTCCTTATCCTTCTCTCATCTACTCCATTCTGCTTTCTCAAAATTTGGGCCAAGATGAATCAGAATATCTTCACACTCCACTTGGCATGATAACTGTTTCTCAAAATTTTCTCAAAACTCCTCATGTCCAAGATCTTCCCTGGAATGGAGATAATTTTTCTCTCAACTGAATCAGGTCAAAATAATCTTGGTACTGAAGGTGTTGCTCCTCATGTTGACAACACCCCTGATAATCTTGTTTCTGTTCCTCGAGATCTTTTGTTACAACAGCTTACTCACTCCCTAGCTCAGATCACTTATCACCAGTCCATGGTGGAAATGCTTCGAAAAGCTCTTTCTGATCAAAAAGGGGGAGAAAAAGTTAGTCATGAAGTTGAAGCAGGGACTTCTCATCCTTTGGATGCCAGAGGCAGAGAGCAAGGAGTCAATGAAGAAGGAGCAAAGAATGAATGAGAAGCTCAAGGAGCAGAGGAAAGCAGTGGATCCAGTGCTGATGATGGAGGAGCAACAGCTGATACTGAGGAGACTTTGGATATTCTACTTTAATTATTTTTATGAACATTGTTGACTTTGTTCTGTTTTTTCCTCTGAACATTCATGTTAATGTTGGTTGTCAAATTCAGGGGGAGTTCAAGCAATGACTCAGGGGGAGTTAAGCGAAAATTTAGTTTTGATCAGAAAGTTAAAAAGGGGGAGTTTGAAACACGTGGATTATTTCCACATTTTGTTTTTAACCTTCTTATTTTCTAAACTAAATTTTAGTTATTGAATAAGTAGTGCTTAGTGGGTTAAGTATAGTGCTTAGTGGGCTAAGTATAATACTTAGTGGGCTAAGTAGTGCTTAGTGGATTTAATTGTGGATTTTATTCTAACTTCCTAACTAACCCACTAACCCATTTTCTTGAGTGCTCTTGTGGTTGGTTTTCTTGCAGATCATGGGCTGAGGAGTGGAAGCTTGAAATGTCTATAAATACCGATTTCAATACTCAATGAAAATCATCGATTCTACGAAATAAAAACCGAGAGCTGAAAAGAATACATGAGTGTTGTAGAGTGGTTTTAGAATCGGTCGTTTGTACTCCTCATGAGTACATTCTTTACGCACTTCTCATAAGTACATTCTTTGTAGTCTAGATTGTTTAGTATATATGTTTCTATACTTGGTTGTAAGAATGATCAAGATAGTGATTCATTCATAAGTTCTTTACGTACTCCTCACGAGTACATCTTTGAAATCTAGAATTTTTAATATTTTTCTTTTTGTATCTAGATTTGAATGTAAGAATGATCCATTCATAAGGAAGAAGTTTTCGCACCTCTTCTGTTTGTATTCTTGGAATACTGATTTTAATATATTTTTCCGTCCTGTAAAGGGCAAGTTCACAAGTCTTTACTTGTGAACATTTCTAATTCTGAGTATTGTTCTTTTATCTTTATATTTCCGCTGCATGTTTGTTCAAGTGTCATAACACTTAAGATAACACCTCTGTATTAAACGAATTCGGGACCATAAATTATTACAATTTTCCTAATGCAACGCTTTTCTTACTCT